ATATTCCTGGGTGTCATCTATGCTCTTATCCAACCCAGGACACCCCTGCAGCCACCTACTCACATTGCACCAATCATGCTCCCACCTACATGGCCACCCACTGAGGCTCACACATCAGCACAGTCGGCTGAACTGCAGACGGCACTTCGCTTTGCGAATCCGCCGAGCATGGAATGCTCTGCCTACCGATTTAGTCTCGGCACCTACTGTGGCGGATTTGAAGAACCGCCTGGACTGTCATCTGGCCGAGCTACACCGCGATATTCCCTGGGGCAACTACCTTCTACTTGAAGGGGTTTCTCTTCTTTCTAATTACTTTATGTAGCCATTTCGGGGAGCGTGGTGGGATGTCACACTTTGAGCCGGCGTGCATTCTGTTTAAATGCCGCATAAATCCAATGAAGATACGCCTAACATGCGAGTCCAACCCACTATAAGGTTGCTTGGCCCTTCTTCAGACCGGAACCCAACTTTTTGTACCCTATGGGTCATGAAAAGCTCGAGGTTTTATTCCCATTAAATACACTGCTCCAATATAATGTATATCTCGGGCCGATTATGCTGGAGCGAGGTCTGGCGGTGGTATGATTCTCTACTGGAAAGATCTCAGAGGTTATCTAGTGGAAGCAATCTGTGACAATGATAGTGGATCTGAAATGTTTTGGTGCCGGATCCATGATGGATATAAGTCTTGTATGGTTGGCGTTATCTACAGAGCCCCTTCGGGTTCTGAAGTCAGTTTGCTGAACTCTGTCAAGAAGTAAGTTGGTGGCAGGGATTGTCTGATTCTGGAAGACTTCAATGCCGCTGGTATCGATTGGGACTTACTTCATTGCGACCTTTCTCCGGCGTCTTTCGACGCTGTCTTCCTTGAAACCGTTCTTGCATGTCATTCATTACATGTTGCAGAGCCCACCAGGATATGTGCGGGTCAGTCGCCACACATCCTCGACCCTGTGCTCACACTGGCACAGTCTGATGTTTCCGACTTGAAAATTCCCCAGCCGCTGGCTAGGAGCGATCACTGTGTAGTTTCCTTCTGTTGGATGCAACGTCTTGCCATACATGACCCAAGGGTGTACCGTTGGAATTTCTGGCGAGTCGATGCGAATCGTTTGAAAAATACTGCTGGCACCATGGATTGGAGTATACCTTAGCACTTAGACCCTGATAATGCCTGGAGTTTCTGTAGTTCAAATTCATGTCACGCACTACATCTTTACTCAATTCGTTGCATCGTTCTCCCAAATCTTTGCATCGGTCACGCTTGAAGCTGCATCGCGTGCGTCATGTGACGCGTTGCACGTGTGCACTCGTACGGGCCATACTCTGTGAGATCACGTCGAGAACACAGTCCATGAGTACGGCTCATACGATTGCACACGTGCAACGCGTCACGTGACGCAAGAGATGCAGCTTCAAGCGTGACCGATGCAACGAATTGAGAAAAGGTATAGTAGCAAAGGTTTGTACAAAGGCGCACCTTGGATTGATCGTGAATTAAGGTCCATCATGAGTCGAGGAGGCAAATTGTGGGACAATTTCAAAATTACGCAATCAACGTTAGAGTACACCAGTTATAAAGCGGTCAGGAACATCTGTAACCCAAGGAAACGCGAGAAACGACTGCAGTATGAACATCACTTGGCCCAGGAATCGATAACCGCTGTCTAGCTATTTTTCTCCTATCCGAAGGGTAATACTAAAGCTGACATTGGAATACCTGCCAACTTTTCTCTCGAAAATAGCATTATGCTTCATCCAGATGACCCAAAGGCTCAGCACTTGGCCTCGCAGTATTCCTGTCTTCCCGATTGAAGAACCGTTGCCCAATAACCTTGTCCCTATGCTTCTCTTCACTCTGGCGCACCCTGAAATCAGCACCGATTCGGTCGCGAAACTGCTCGAGTTAGATCCGAACTCCTAACCGGGACTTGATGGGCTTCACCCTCTGTATTTCCAAACGGTAGCTGTGCATATCACTGCACCTCTCTGCCGAGTTTTGTAGCGATCACTCGATGCAAGACGTCTCCTGTTTGTTTGGAAATTCGGTATTGTTAAGCCCATACACAAAGGTGGCAATCGTCGGGATTCTGGGAACTATCGGTCGACTTGTTTTACATCCATAGTGTGTAAAGTCATGGAGAGAATTCGCAAGAGATCCTTGCAACGTCACCTTGATAACGTGAATGTCACCTCTCCCGCGCAGCATAGCTTCCGCAGTGCAAGCTCGCGTGTCAACAACCTGCTTGTGGCCAGTGAAAAATGGTCTAAATCGATGGATTTCGGCAATCGCATGAACGTCGTTTTTGTCGATTTCAGGAAAGCATTTGATAAAGTCTCATACGAACGGCTTCGCCTTAAACTTTAGGGAATTGGCATTTCTGGTGATATTCTCTTTTGGATCATCGAGTTTTTGAATGGCCGTAATATGCGAGTGAAAGTAAGCGAAACTTGCTCCGAGCTCGTTCTCATGACCAGTGGAGTTTCGCAAGGCGCTGTCCTCGGTCCTGAGTTTTTTTAAGTATTCATCAACGACCTTCCATTAGAGCTTTGAACGGATTGCCTGCTATAGGTTAACGACTTAAAGCTATGGTTAAAGATGCACGAACTTGAAGATACTGACTGATGTGAGCGACACCAGACCGGCTGAACAGCTGGACATTGGAGTGGCCATTGCCCATCAGTTATGATAAGTGCTCCGTATCCCTTCGGTGCTTATCATATTGGTGGCTTCTTGCTTGTGAACGCTGCATGTGAGAAGGATCTTGGTGTACTTGTGTCTCCTGATTTGCGCACAACCCAGGACACCTTGAGGAGAGTAGCGGCTGCTAATAGGATGTTCTGTGTCATAAGGTAATTTTCCCGTAAGACTCACGAGGCATTCAGACTTATGTTCACTTCCATGTGCGCCTTCCTCGAAAACGGTTCATCTGCAGTTTATCCTCTTACAAAGAACAGGCGTGTTCTCATAGAGAGTTCAACGGCGTGGGGCGAAATCGATATCTGTGATTGGGAATTCGTCCTACATCCAACGACTTCGAACAATGAACACATTTTCCTTAGATTACAGTCATCGTCCTGGTGATCGGAGTTACAACACGCATTCTGTGGGGGATGATGGGAAATGAGCTAGTGTCTTCAACTCAGAGTTGATAGTATGACATGGGGTCACTCCTGGAAACTGGTTAGGTTAAGGAGGCTCCGAGTGCATCGTGATGTGAGTTTGTCTATCCGTGTGGCTGTAAAAGAACAATTTACCTGGACCCGTCGTCAGCGCACAATGAGGAAAGTTTCAAACGACTGACTACTACCTGCTGAGTAAGCAAAGATCGTGTTGTTTCCGCTGCGATCGTGATGACCCTCTGTAGAACGATGTGTCGCAAGGATCCGCGATATCCCTGCCTTTAACGGGAAGTAATGGAGCTGACACATGATCACCTTTCTTCTCCCTACCATACGAATGAACTAATGTTCGATAGGGAACTGAGGATGGAGATGCAACGGTGTTTTCACTGCTTACTGTTGACAGCTCAACACGAGGGCATAATTGAAAGTCGTTTAAAGCGAGGAGACTTTAGGCCCAGCATGATGTCACTTTATTCACCAGGGTGATGAACGCCTGAAGCAATCCACCAGAGCTCGTGATCAGTACATAAACAGAGGAATGTTTAAAACAACTGTTGAACTCCCATATGCAACGTTCGCCTAGAGCTCGCTACTTTCCCCGCGATTGTAGCGGCATTATCCAGAGCGCCGATATGTAGCGAGTAGCTTTATCCACGCGGTACTTGGGAAACGATGGAGTGGATATATGATTTTATACTCTCTATAACGTAAGCGCAAATATCGATAACATCAGATTCGTAAAAAATTTCTTAAAGGCTTCTGTTTTCAGTGAAAAATTCTGGGGATACACCTAATGGCGACTGGGGGCACGCCGCCGACCGTTTTTATGAATATCCGAGACCGTGGTGGGGTGCGCGCGCCGATTAGACACCCAAATGACAAATCGATTAACAACTACATCCTGGATCAACGTCGCATTAAAAATGGAACATTGGCGAAATTCTCCTATTTTTCCTGTCCCATGTGTACATGAATTTGTGAAGAAAGATTGGCTCGCTGGTCGCCTCCCTGTTGAGACTAGTGTTCAACAAACGCACGATGAGCGTTAAAACATTCACTCATCGGGCGCCCGCCGAGACAAATTGAGCGGGATCATCTTCAAACGCTCAGCTTTCCTAGGTTTTGCCTCCCATGGAAAACTAGCCACATTGACCCCCCACTATCAATGACAATACGCTATTGCAACTCCACGCATCTGACGATATAAAACATAAGCAGCGACAACGTTGTTAATATATAACTCAGAGCAAGTAATTTACGGAAAAGAATCGAACAGAGCAAGGCCTTCTGTCTTTTCATAGCCGCGTTTCACGTTATTTTAACTTTGTTTATATGTGAATGCATCTGTACACAAAATAAAACTTATTGGTGCTAGTTACGGAGAACTCATGAAAGATGAAAGTGCAATATGGTTTCATTTTGCTTTGTTTTCTTTGCAGAAGAAAGAAATGCAACTGGAAGTCGAAGGACCGGAGGTCCTTGGTTGCTTGCCGGTGCAAGAAGCAGGATACTCGTTAGGCGGAAGCCTATAACGTTCTGGGAACCTGATCTGACCAAAACATATTTTAAGACCACTCGAGGAGTGTGCGGCATCGGTCGCTGGAGTGATCGATGGTGATAATAGCGTTTACGGCTGTATATCCGACACAGTTCGGTCTGCGTCTGTATTTTGCTACTATAAAACACGGTTAGCTGCTACAAAGTAGATAACGAGGATAGTAACTAGAGGACATTAGAGACTAAATTAAAGAGAGGATTATCCATGGCAGCCAGCGAACTTATTCAAATAATTGGATCGATGATAATTAACCGAATAGCGAACTGATAGATAAATATGGGAGATCTGATTGAGTTTACAGAAGACCGCTTACCTTCTAGGAATTGATACGGCTGTATCTGATAATCCACCTCTAGAAGAGTAGACATAATGATCCATCAATCACGACTGAAGACAAGACGGAAGCCGCACTCAGCTGGGGGGGACGAAGTAGATCTCTGTCAGTAGATAAGCTACTGTTAACAACAAGTAGGAAAAGCGAATAGGCAAGAAAAAAGCATAACTCTGTCTACTTAAAAACGGTTTGTATCGCCATTCATTATGCCAAACCTAGGTAACTAAGAGCAATTAGCGCGGGCTATTTAAAATTTCATGTGCCGTGGTTAGCGTTTTATCAAGCTGACAGATAAAAGAAAAGAAATAGGGGGTCCATATACATGTGACAAAAGAAAACCTTTTCACGTCGCCTTTCACGGTTGTCAGCTACAGCTTACTATTGCAGTCCCTGCAACAAACTAGTGTGCTTGCCTCGAGTACATAGGAAACAACTGACCGTAATTTGGAGGCTGCTAACGAACGACGTTACGAAGTTTGTTTAAAGTAGTAATGTATATATATGCATGCTGAAAATGCGAAATGCTACTCCTTTGTTGTGCACTGCAGCGTATAACCTACGGAGAAGGGAGAATTCCAGGGATTGAGACTGAACGTATATTACGCAACACGTAGGCTCTATAAGAACGGATCAGTAACATAGGAAAAGGTGAACGAAAAGTTACAGTCAACTGTTCTCTTCAGGTTTTTGTCCTTCAATAATTGCGTGCGAATGTCCTTCTGAAAGGCAGTTGGAAATGGTGCCGGCAGAGCAACAATTTAAATTTAACCACGCGCCAAATTAGTTTCGATCACTCTTTACACCACACTCCTTCTATGTAGGCAACGTCCCCGTTGCCACAACAAAGCCCCTTGAGCTGGTACTGCAATTGCGGTGACTACTTCTGTCGGTGGCTCATTGTGGTGCTCCTCATCCGAATGCTCACGTTCGATATGGAAAGGTTTAATCTGATTAAAGTGTCCGACCATGTGCGGCCCGACGGCGTATTTTGGGTCCCTAATCACACGAGTCAGATCAGATAATTATTCGGTCTACCACGTAGGGGCCAGTCTACTCACGATGCAGCTTCGCTGGTATTCCGAATACCGGTGCCTGTTGCAAATACACGAGGTCGCCTGTTTCAACAGGACACAGAAGACCTTCTTGTCGTAGTATTCCTTCCGTCGCCGTTCAGCGTTCACCAAGTGAATGCGGAGTCAAGGAGCTTACTGACATATTCAGCGACTGACGGGTACACCTGTTGTGATCTCGGTAATCGGACATCCGAGGGCAACCGAACTTCTCAACGCGTCCACATAAACGACGGCGTTTGTCCGGTAGAAGAGTGAAGTGTGCTGCGATAGGCCAATAAGCATTTAGGCGACAAGGTGTCCCACCCGTAGACGTTCTGGTCCACGAACGCCTTCAAGAGTGACTTCAACGACCGATTCGTACTTTCTACCTGACCGTTCCCTTGTGGATGGTAGGCCGTTGTTCGCGTTTTATCGTTACCAAGTGCTCTGCCCATCTCCTGGACCAGTGAGCTCTCGAAACATTATCCCCTATCAGAATGCAATTGCCTAGGCGCTCCCCGTTGACTAACCAAGTGGTTAGTCATCGCGTTTGCCACAGTGAGAGTACCAGCCTGCGCGATTGGCACGGCTTCGCACCATTTGGTGAAATTGTTTACCAGGACTAGAATGTAGCGATTCTCGCTCGGCGTTTCCGGTAGTGAACCAACGAGGTCTACTCTAACTATTACGTTCGGGTAACCTGCTGTCATGGACTGTATTGTCGCCCTATGAACAATAGGCAGATTTTTGAACGTCGTGCATCTTTTACAAGTTTGGCAGAAGTCGACAATACCTCTTCGTTGATGCGGCCAACAAAATCCTCGACGCGTCGCTGATTGGAGTTTATTGATTCCAGCGTGTCCCAGCTGTTGGTGCAGTTCCGACAGCAATTCCGCAATTAACGCCTGTGGAACTACGATCCCCCTCAGATACGTGGGGCCGAAATCGAAGACCAACACACCCTCTTCGATGGCGAGTTTATCCCAAATGGCTCCCAGGCACAGAGCTTCGTAGCTTTTCCCTTCCATTTCTTTCGGGGCAGGTTTGTCCCTTCCCGAGCTCCGCTCGTGGTAGGTAAGTGATATGTCTGGGTCCGAAGCCTGTGCTTCTTGCCAACGACCATCCTCGGCCTTTTGTAGGTTAACTAGCGCTGCGTGTTGGGTAAGGCAGGAAGGACAATTTCCGTGCTCTCGAGAAGGAACCCTCGATTGCGCGTCCGCGTTGCCGTGTAGTTTCTCAGGCCGATGGTGACATTCGAACTCATACTCCTGTAGCTGCGCCTGCCATCGAGCAATCTGCCTCACAGGTTCCCAGAAGTTCTGCAACCACCTGAGTGATTGGTGATCAGCCAGTACTACGAATTTTCTTCTTAAAAGGTAGTGCCGATTTTGTTTTATGAAAAATACCAATACCAACATTTCTTTCATTGTCGTGCGGTAATTTGTTTCTCTTGACTTAAGACTTCTACTACTGTATGGAACCACTCTCTATGACATCCCGCCCTTTTTGTGACAAAACCGCCCCAATGGCCTGCTCGCTGACATCCGTGTCCAAAATAAACTCCCCCGCGCGGGGTGACAAGTCAAGAAAGATTAACATCGGGGCGTTACACATAGACTTACGCAATCGATTGAAGCCCGTTTGATACGCAATTGGCGCCGAGCGGTCGCACAAAACTCTCCTCCCGCGTTATTCGCCTCCAAATCTTTGGATTTATTCTCACACAGACCTGCGTGCCATCATTCGATTTGGCACCGCGAGCTCTTTCTAGCACTATTTATCTATTGGATCTATCATTCACGGATCACCAGCAAACTGTGCTCTTGCATCTTCGAAGTCAACCGTATTTGAACCCTATCAGAGAAATTATTTTTCCTCTCGTCGCATAAGAACTCTTGTGGTCTTATTTTAAAGAGCTTTTATAGTCACTTTGATCAGTTTACTACCATTCCTTCAAGTCGCTGTACAAAGCGATAGTCGTCAATTTGATCCGCACTTAGAACTGCCACTGTCGTCATTAGACAGTCACCTTGCTTTGCCTCAGTCCTACGTCGCATCGCTGCCTACCCTCTACCGGGTGGATCGATAGCACGCACGTCGCATATCTACCCTAAAGAACGTGTGACTCATCTGGCCACGACACGCCTGGACCTGCTGACCTCAAACCAGCGCCGATCGCCACGCAACGGTGCAGCAGTATCTCTATCCTTTCTGCCTCTTCAAACAGCACCCCTACTGAGAACATGTCTCGTTTGAAGAGCAACTGCGAAGCATGGGCTAAAGTGGTAAAAGGTGGTCTGGTGTGTACCATGTGTTTGGAATCCTATCACACTACCTGCCTTGGGAAGGAGTCGACGAAACCGAACACTGCAGGGGCGTTTTGGTTCGGCCAAGTATGCAAGTCTGCTCCATTCGTTAGCTGTCTATCTGTGCTACTGAAGATGTGTGAAAGATTAATCGAAGCGGTCGAGCAACTGGTGAGCGTCCGAGTTACACCCATGGGAGGAAACACACCTGCACTTGTGAGTGAAAATAACACCCCGAATTCCCTAATCAGTCCAAAGAAGCGAGCCAGGCGTCGCAACCGAACCCCGACGACAGACTCCAGCAGGATCAACTCCAGTCTCTCTCCCTCCTATAAGTAAAAACAGTGTCTGCAGCGCGCCTGCCTCAACTTCTGTAACGTGTGTTGCACCTAGTAGTCTGTCGCTACACTCGAGACAGTAAGGTACACTCAAACAGCATTAGTGAACAACCCGGCAAAGTACGCATCGGTTGCCGCCAAACAAACACCGGAAAAAGCACCGGTAACCTTGGTGCCCAGACTAGAGAAAACAAAACTGCAGCAGAACGGATGGCACAATCCAGTGCCGTTCACATACTCAACCAAAACACCGGATACTTAGCCTTCAAACCCAAAATCTCTAGCCACCAGGCGCAGCCATGATGTCCTAAACATTGTATGCACTAATGTCCCCGAATCCAAATCCAATACAATAAATAAATAAATAAATAGTATATTCTCGAATTTCCGAGACACACCAGAACAGGCATGATCAACGTTTACAAGCAATTATGTTTCGCAACAAACACGTTGCTATGTATGTAATCGGCAGTAAGCAGAAAGTTGTGTAGGCTTTGGAAATTGTAAAATTAATCTTGAGGTATAAATTCGTCAATGCATGACGACAAGTTGGGTTCTAGTGTGCGTAGTGTAAACAGGCTGGGCATTCCGTTTGTAGAGAAAACCTGCCAGGAAAATATTACATTAGGATTCTGGTCGGCTTGCCAGTACGTAGTTGTGGGCAGTGACTTTATTCAGTGGCGAGTCACATCCGCCACGTCGCAGTGTTGTTAAGCGGACATTTGTGGCTTTTTATAGGGAGAACGCTTGCCAGGCGAAAACCCACCACGTCCTGAAACACTGTCAGAAATCCGTTTGTACACTAATGTAAAACTGGCAGAGCAGCTCGTCGACTGATTTAACCCTCGGTTAACCGCCGTCAATTGCCTTCTAATTTCCTCTGTTAGCTGAACAGGTTATTTTTGGTCGGGGCGGCCATGATGGCTGAGGCCCATGGAGGGTTAGACCGTTGTCATCTTCGTGTCCAGGTTAGCAAAACTTCCGATTCTTGTGTCTAGATTTCTCAGGATTATGTATACTTCGCAGGAGTATGAAGGCGTCATGTCCAGCTACCATTACTGGACAACGGTCGTGGTAGTGAGTGCATTTTTATCCACTTGTTGTACAGCCGTGTTCTATGTAGGTCCTTGGGGGTTTCTATGTCCTGTCCCAGGCACAAGCTCTTTCACGGTCCGGTCCCAGATCCCCAAGAAATTCCAGACCTCGGAGAAAGGGTCGGTGTGAGACAAACAGGGCCACAAAGGACAGACGTGGGAACAAGCATTATTTATGTCCCATGGTCTAACATTTAGAGGAAACATATGATGTACAATGTGTAACAATGATTTTGCTAAAAGTGTCTTTTGAATATTCATTGGAAGCAAGGCCCTATAGGTTGGTTGCTACCATATACCTTGGATACAGAGCGTTGCGCTGTTGAGCAAAGAAAACACAGGATCAGTTTGCTATGATGCAACTGTTGCGTGGGAAGATTCGCTTGGGAGCGTAGAATATGCTGACCCAGGGAAAGCCAGTGAGTCTATTGGTCTCATAAA